ATAGGAGTTGTGATTAGAGGTTTAAAATGAGAAAATGTGGATATATAACTAGACAGGATCTGGAACATAGTAAGGACTTATCCTATATAATAAAAGCCTAATATGCTAAGTGTCCAGTCATCCGGTCAACCAATTAAAGCGTAATATGCTAATGATATGCTAAGGCCACTCAACCACTCACTATGACGTGCACTGACCACCAGAGGGCAAACAGTCGACCAGTCGACTAGTCACTATGATGTGCACTGACCACCAGGGGGCAGACACTCTGACTGGTAGTTTAGCTTGTTGCTGGGGTCCGGCTGATCAGGACTGAGTGAAACGAGCCAGAGAGCCAGACACCCCTGGAGCCCTCCTGCGGTTCCTTCCCCAGCTGGCCAACCTCCCGTGTCTCTCCCTGGCCCCAATCATGCACTGGTCCCTTGGCCTGGCCTGCACCCTCACGCAATCTGAGACCCCTTGGGGGATGTTGAGTAGCTGGTTTTGGCCCGATTCCACAGGCCAGACCGAGGGACATCACTGGTGCATGAATTCATGCACCAGGCCTCTAGTTTGTTATAAATATTCCTTTTCCTTATTACCACATTTATTAAATAGTTTTATTTACATTCTTTATAATTGTCTTTGACATTTTCTTGGCATTTATCACTAGAGCCACATTCTGAGTCATCTAACATTGTTTTCCAGATTTTATTATCTTTTTTTTTTTAATATTTTTATTGATTTCAGAGAGGAAGGGAGAGAGAGAGAGAGAAACATCAATGATGAGAGAGAATGATTGATTGGCTGCCTCCTACATGCCTCACACTGGGTATCAAGCCTGCAACCCAGGCATGTACCCTGACCAGGAAATTGAACCCTTATCTCCAGGTTCATAGATTGATGCTCAACCACTGAGTCATGCCTTCCGGGCCAGATTTTATTATCTTTAGTTCTGTCTAAATTGAGGGATAGCAGTTTTTGAATTTTAAATTTGCTTTTTCCTAGAAATTTTATGGCAAGCCATAACTACCTAATTGCTATTTATCTCTACAGTTAAAACCATTTAACTGTCTTTAAATCTCATTGACAAAAGGTTTGTTTACTACCATATGAACACTTGGATTTATAAGGTTACATTCTCTGAAATACATTAACCTTGCCCTTGTCGGTGTGCCTGTTATTTGGTGTTTTGTTAATCCTCACCTGAGGATATTTTTCCATTGATTTTCAGGGAAAGTAGAAGAGAGAGGGAAAGACAGAACCATCAATGTGAGGAAAACTCATCAATTGGTTGTCTCCTGCATGAGCCCCTACCAGGGTTTGGGCTGGGGAAGGAGCCTGCAGCCAAGGTATATTCCCTTGACTGGAATTGAACCTGGGACCCTTTAGACCGCAGACAGACACTCTATCCATTGAGCCAAACCAGCTAGGGCTATTTGATGGTTTGATTCCCTACCAGGGAACTTACCCAGGTTTTGGGTTTGATTTCTGGTCAGGGCACATGCGGGAAGCAACTGATTAATGTTTCTCTGTCACATTGAAGTTGCTCTCTCTCTCTCTCTCTCTCTCTCCCTCCCCCTCTCTAAAAATCAATAGTTATAAAAAAAAATTTCCTTCTTTCATAAAATAAAAAAGAAACACAGTAGTTCTCCTTTATCTGCAGGAAATACATTCCAAGACCCAGAGTGGATGCCTGAAACTGGGAGTAGTACCAAGTTCCATGTGTGTGTTTGTGTGTATGTGTATCAGTATGATGTTTTCTCCCTTACATACCTATGTTAAATTAGGCACAGTAAGAGATTAATAATAATAACCAATACTAAAACAATTTATAACAATATACTATAATAAAAGTTATGTGAATGTGGTCTCTCTCTCTTTCAAAATATATTGTACTTCTTATGATGACATGAGATGATAAAATGCTTATGTGATGAGATAAAGTGAGGTGAATGACAGGCATTGTGATGTAGGCAACTATTGACCTTTTTGATGATATATTAGGAGAATCCTCTGCTTCTGGACATTCTGTATCATTGAGCCATGACAATGTTGATGGCTGGATGTCAGGAGCGGATGATGTTGATTGTTGGGGCAATTTAATTTCTAACTGTGGTCCACATTACTTAACTGAAACCACAGAAAATGAAGCTGCAAGAAAGGGAGCACTACTATAATTACAAAATCTGAATTAAATTTATATGGCTCCTTTTCTACTGATATAAGAATTAATAATGACTCAGAAAATAATATTAGGAAATAAGAATTGATAGAATCAAAATGATGACTCTTTATGGTAGACCAGATATTTTTGTGTTTTAACTTTACACATAAATGACATTTAGTGTTTTATATTCGTGTCTTTATAAATTGGATGTTATCATATCTAACTGAAATGGCCGAGCAGTATAAGGAGAATAAGAAAACATTCAGCATAAATGATGGTAGAGACTTTCATTTTCCTTAAGCCACATAATGAACAGGTCTCACATGCCTGAACAATAATATAAGGTAGGATTATCCATATTTTAAGTAAAATAACAATATCTACAGTTTCTGTTTTTAATCAGATTTATGTTTATATGGTTCACAATTAAATACATATTTTAAAAATAATTTTTGGCCGAACCGGTTTGGCTCAGTGGATAGAGCGTCGGCCTGCGGACTGAAAGGTCCCGGGTTCGATTCCGGTCAAGGGCATGTACCTGGGTTGCGGGCACATCCCCGGTGGGGGATGTGCAGGAGGCGGCTGATCGATGTTTCTCTCTCATCGATGTTTCTGACTCTCTATCTCTCTCCTTTCCTCTCTGTAAAAAATCAATAAAATATATTTTAAAATAATAATAATAATTTTTGTTTATTGTTCAGTAATTACAGTGGTCACAGAAAAGAACAGTTCAGTGAGAGCTCTGTTGCTAATAATAATATAAAGGTACTAGAGGCCCAGTGCACGACATTTGTGCACTCGTGGGTGGGGTCCCTCAGGCCGGGTGGGGTCCCTCAGGCCGGCTTGTGCCCTCTCGAAGTCCGGGAGCCCTCGGGGGATGTCTGACTGACGGCTTAGGCCCATTCCCTGCGGCAGTTGGACATCCTTAGCGCTGCTGCGGAGGTGGGAGAGGCTCCTGCCACCACAGCTGCGCTCGCCAGGCGTGAGCCCCGCTCTTGCTGAGCGGCACTCCCCCTGTCAGAGCGCGCTGACCACCAGAGGGCAGCTCCTACGTTGAGCGTCTGCCCCCTGGTGGTCAGTGTGCATCATAGCGACCAGTCGTTCTGCCGTTCAGTCAGTTTTCATATTAGCCTTTTATTATATAGGACTAGGGGCCTGGTGCACAAAATTCATGCACTGGGTGGTGGTGGGGGGAGGTGTCCCTCAGCCCAGCCTGCCCCCTCTCACATACTGGGAACCCTCAGGCGTTGACCCCCATCACCCTCCAATCGCAGGATCGGCCCCTTGCCCAGGCCTGATGCCTCTGGCCCAGGCGTCAGGCCTGGGCAGGGGACCCTTATTTCCCCTCGCTCACTGGTTCTGCCCCCCGCCCAGGCCTGATGCCTCGGCCAGAGGCGTCGACCCCCATCACCCTCCGATCGCCAATCACCGGATCGGCCCCTTGCCCAGGCCTGAGGCCTCCGGCAGAGGTGTCAGGCCTGGGCAGGGGACCCCCAGCTCCCACCATTCCCGGCTCCGCCCCTGCTACCCACGATCTCTGGCACCGCCCCTGCCAAGACCTAAGGCCTCTGGTGGAGGCATTAGTCCTGGGCAGGAGACGGACCCCCAGCTCCCCGCGATCTCTCGCTCTGCCCCTGCCTAGACCTAATGCCTCTGGCCAAGGGGTTAGGACTGGGCAGGGGACCCTCAGCTGCTCACGATTGCTGACTCCGCCCCTGCCCATGCCTAACGCCTCTGGTCGAGGCCTTAGGCCTGGGCAGGGGACCCCCAGCTGCCCAGGATCGCTGACTCCGCCCCTGCTCCCCGCGATGGCTGGTTCTGCCCCTGCCCAGGCCTAACGCCTCTGACCGAGGCATTAGGCCTGGGCCGGGGACCCCCAGCTCCAGGCGATTGCAGGCTCCGCCCCTGCCCAGGCCTAACACCTCTGGCCAAGGCATTAGGCCTGGGCAGGGGACCCCCAGCTCCCCTCGATCTCCCGCTCTGCCCCTGCCTAGACCTAATGCCTCTGACCGAGGCCTTAGGCCTGGGCAGGGGACCCCCAGCTCCCCTCGATCTCCCGCTCTGCCCCTGCCTAGACCTAATGCCTCTGACTGAGGCCTTAGGCCTGGGCAGGGGACCCCCAGCTCCCTGCAGTTGCAGGCTCCGCCCCTGCCCAGGCCTAACGCCTCTGGCCAAGGCGTTAGGTCTGTGTAGGGGACCCCAGCTCCCCACGATTGCAGGCTCCACCCCTGCCCAGGCCTAACGTCTTTGGCCAAGGCTTTAGGCCTGGGCAAGGGATCCCTAGCTCCCCGGACTGCCCAGCTCCCATTGCTGGCTCCACCCCTGCTTCCCGCTATCACTGGCCGGGGCGGCAAAGGCGCCTGGTTCTCTGATCACAGCTCGGGGACAGGGCAAAAGCGGCCCCCAGGGCTGCCTTTGCCCTGCCCCCGGCTCTTAGCTCCCCCCTGGGTTTCCAATCACCGTCAGTGGCAGGGGGCTTCTTCTGTCCTTTCCCTTTCGCCTTCTAGCATTGTGCCTACATATGCAAATTAGCCGCCATCTTTGTTGGCGGTTAATCGCCATCTTGGCTGGCAGTTAATTTGCATATCGCCCTGATTAGCCAATGGGAAAGGTAGCGGTCATACGCTAATTACCATGTTTCTCTTTTATTAGATAGGATAATCTCAAATTGGGAAATTTGGGGCTTGTCCCTTAATTATAGACTAAACTTAAATTTTACATGTATACATATGTATAAATTGACAAATTATACCATGAATATAAGTGAATTTTCTGTTAATTTTGGTTTGAATGTTTTAGTCTTTTAGTTGATTACTTAAATAAGTTTTTAAAATTATTATTTGCTTTATAGGTCAACATGATGGACCATTGCCCAGACAGCATGCTGGATTATTGCCAGAATCTCTTATTTGGGCATATATTGTCCAATTGAGTTCTGCACTGCGTACCATTCACACAGCAGGTTTGGCATGTCGAGTTATGGACCCAACAAAGATTCTGATAACTGGCAAAACGAGGTACTAGCATTTTGAGTTTTGGCTTCTTTATTGTGCATTTAACCTATGACCGGTTTTAAACAAAGCATGATGATTTCTTTTAATTTTACCTTTTCATATATTCCATCCAGAAGAATTGCTGTGACTTTTGAGTTCATTTGTAATTTAAAAAAAAAAAAAAGTTGAATTCTTAAAAAAAAAAAAGCCTGGTTATTAACCAAGAATCTTGTAAGGGTTTGGAGGTATGTATGGTTAGGGTTGGGGGGATATATAAGTAATATCAACACAACTTTTCTTTGTACAACTGTGATTCTCAAATTTTAGCTTGAATCAGAATTGCCTGGGGGGCTTATTTATCACATATTATTGGGCTCAAACTTGGATCTAGAGTTCTCATTCAGTAAATATGGAGCAGGGCCTGAGAGTTTGCATTTCCAACAAGTTCCTAGGTGTTGCTGTTGCTACTGATTGGGTCATATGCTTTGAGAACCACTGACAGAGTTAAGTAGACAGACTCTAACTTCAGCAGAGTTTCATTTGAGTTGTAATTTTGAGAATTGGCTTGGGCAGTGTAGTATGAAGAGCTCTAGATGTAGTACCAGTTGACTTAGCTTCCTGGCTCTGTTAGTTGCTGTCTTTATGACCCTGGTCAAGTACCTTAACTTCATTGTGTTCAGTAACCTAATGAGACGGGTACTCTCCTCACCATTTTCTACATTTTAAGGTACCTGTCTCATAAGATGATTGAGAGGGTTGAATGAATTAATACATGTAAGATGCTTCCAATATTGGCTAGTATATCTTCAGCAAGTGTTAGGAAGCCAAGTAGTGCTCTTTACATGAACGAAGCAGCTTGGTACAGTGGAAAGAACACTGGGCTGGTAGTCAAAGATATGAGTTATAGTCCTGGCTTTATTAGTTACTAACTTTTATAACCTTAATATCTTTGAGCCTTAATTTTCTCATCTCTAAAATGGTGATTAGTAGAAGCTATATGGGAGTAGGACAGAAGGTTAGAGTAGATAATATTCTGAGGTTCTTCCAAATATTATAGGAAATGATAAATTTCCACTAGTATGTAATTTTTAAAATCTCATTTTAACTATTTTCTTTAAATCTCTGATCTTTAAAGGTTGCGAGTAAATTGTGTTGGTGTATTTGATGTCTTAACATTTGATAACAGCCAGAATAATAATCCATTGGCATTAATGGCTCAATACCAGGTGAGTAAGAATTAACATGAATACCTACAGGCTTGGTTCTTTGTTTTTTTGTGTGTGTGGTTTTTTGTTTTTTAAGACAAATTCTGTTTATTTTAAAGTATTTCAGGGTTTTAAGTGTAGATTTTAATTTATTCTGGGTGATTTTTATGCAAACTTTGAACATGGGTTTCTTAATCACTAATGTATTTAGTGTAGAGCCCTTATAAGTTGGAATATACAGAATTCATGACTCTAGCTGTTCAAATGAAAATGTATTTATGTGATTAGGATATTTGTCCTCAGCAGAATTAAAACAGATTAATTGGTCAGTTGAATGAATTACATTAAACGAGATTTTACTTTTTTTCTTTTTTACTTTTAGAATAATTGTCCCACTAACAATCTGAAAATTTTAGAAATATTTTCAAAGAAATAGTGTTGTATTGCCATTTTTTAAGTAATTTTTTTCTTTTGCTTAGTCAAAGACCATCACTTCTTGTACATTATCAGAATTTGATTATAGTATTATTTCATAATAATAGTTTGGACTTAGGTCCCATTATGTACTTAGCTTTTTATTTCTTTTTTCTTGATTAATCTTAAGGTGTAGAATAAGAACCTATCTCTGCAAGGACTGTTAAATGTAGCTGCTTTTGCCTGATTACTTTGTACAAGTGACGAGGCTATTTAAAGTATGTTTCAGATCATTCAGTTTGTATTACAATACATTTTTCGGAGGCTATACAACTGTCATTTTAAGGCATTGTTCTTTTTGTGTAAAATTTTTGTGTGTTTATGAACATTTATTAACTTACAGAAGTTGATATGAGGTAGAATATCTTCTTATTACATGGAAAAACAAGGATACCTCACCTTCTCATTGTCCTTCTCATTTCAACATTTTTTGTTTAAATCTTGAAAGATTTCAGTTCACTTTATCATAAGACAAAATTTCAGAACAAAAAGGAAAGAACAGACTGAGAAGTAGAGTGTATTTAGTGCTTAGTATTCCAATTCATGCATGGCCTTCTCTTACCACAGGCAGTGCAGTCCCAAAGAGTTGGAGCTACTCATCACATTCACTTAGTTGTATGCAGACTTTTCATGTCTTCTGCTCTACTTGTGCCCACCTAACCTCAATAGTAGCCAACCTGTCCTGTTTGGTCACACCACTTAGTGGCCACTGTGTGGCTACTTTTGCCCCAATGGCAGCAGCTTCCTTTCTGCCTAAGAGATTTGCTCCCTCTTTTTTTATTTTTTAAATCTAGAATGGTTGTTTCTTACCTACTTTCCTTATCTTCTGTCTTATATTTATTGACTAACTAATTGGCTCTGAAAATTGTTCTTTATAATTTGTTGTGCTCCTAAAAGTGACTGATTATTGGCTGTTAAAAATACTAGTGATTTTCATATATTCAGGAAAATAATATTAAACTTTGGAAGATAAATTTAGAACTAGTGCCATCAGTCTCTATTGCAAGTATTTGGAAACCTCATGTCTACATTTTAAAAAGTAGCCTTACAGTATTTCCTTATTCTTTTCTAGTCTGAAGAGTTTCTTTTTATTTTAATTACTAGTATAAAGGAAAACTAGGTTGATATTCTTTTCCCCCGTTAGTGTCACAACAATATTATTTCCCTTTTTTTTTCTTTGCAAATGTACATTACTTCAGTTATGTTGCAAGTTGTGAAGTTAACCTTGAAAAACAATTCTCTATAAGAAAAAGTAGTCCCAGAGTTACAAACAACTTTTAAGTAAGCATTTGGGGCAATTGATTGATAAATTAACAACTGCTTTAATTCATAAACTCAGGCTACTTTCAACCTGTTGTCACCATCCCTTTATCTTCAGCAATAAAGGATATATCAGGTTTTCTTTATTTTTTGGGGGGGTGGTATATATGTGTGGAAGATTTTTCATATAGCTTTTAGTAAGGTAATGGAGAGAATTAAAAATAGTTCCAAAAAGGGGATTGTGATTTTATAGCGAAGAGGGCACATGAGAAAGGAGTACATTGTTTCTTGTAGTCTATTTTTCATAGTCTGTTTCAGACACGTGAATAGAGACTGACTTTCAGTAAAATGGACATAAGTAGAGCCATAGATAGAATCAGAAAAATCAAGAAATCAAGAATCAGGAAGAAACTGAAAATGAGTTGGGGGGAAAAACCTCCAGAATTCAACAAATGGGGGGAAAACCAGATGGAGGTAAGAAGCAAAATAACAACTGGAAAATTATTTAGCTGGGAAATAAGGAAAGGAGAGTTATAGAGTTTTTATGATGTTAACTCTCTTAATTAAGCAGGACTTGATTAATGTCTTTTATTTTAAAAAATAGTTCTCATTTAATCTGGATTGTGTGACATGTACATATTATTTCTAAAGTGAATACTCCTACCTTTGGTCAGTTTTAGAATGGTGGTAGGAAGTACTTAAGCCAGATGCTGCGATTCTTTAAACCCATCAGTCCTTCAGTTCTCTTGGACTTTTGTTTTCCTGTCTTGTGTTAGGGATTAATGGGATGTTCTAAGTGGGAGGTGTAGTTACAGCATCAATTCAGAGTGGAGCTAACCTGAAAATTCTACTGTTTTAAGGGTTGGAAGGTTGTGTGTTGGTACATGCTGCTCACATACTTGATAAATAACCTTCAGTGTGCTTTGCTGACGACAATGGATTACAACACTTAGAGAAATTTCCAGTTAGTATTTACATGCACTGATTTATGATTTCATTTAGTGTAACGTGGAATGTTTACTTGATCTTGAGAATGCCTGAGGGGAATCCTTCTTGAGTTTGTTCACGGCAGTGCCCTCCAGAGAAAGAAACAAAACGATGGCAGCAGTGACCTTTCCCCATGCCACCTTCCCTTCTTCCCTGGCTCTTAACTCTGTACCTCTAATGAAGTTCTAAACAGTTTCTCTGGCATGCATTCTTGGTATCTCTTGTTCTTACAGATTCAAAGTAGCTTGTTTTTCTAATCAGTTTTTCCACAGATTAAGGGATCTTATGTTCACAGTGTCAGATTCACAAATGCTAGTTTGGGATAAATTTTTAAATTTGAACTTTTTCATGTTATTTTAGTAATGGAGTTTAACTTCCTCTTATACTTTATTATTTGGGTAGAATGTTGCTAAGGATAGTTATGTAGTGTTAAAGTTTCATTAGTGATTGCCTTGAAATACTCCCCTGATGTCACAAATATACCATTATAAACATTCCACAAAACCAGTAGGTTTCAACCCTGGCTGCATATCAGAATCTCTTGTAGAAGCATTGAAAAATACCAATATCTAGATTTTACCCCAGACTAATGACATCAGAACTGAGATGAGGGGATGGCCACTAGGTGATTTTTTTGTTTGTTTTTTAAGCTCCTCAGATGATGTTAATTTATAGCTAAGTTTGAAAACTCCTTATACTAAACCAATATTCAGCAAATGAACATATATCCAATAATTCAGATGAGATCTCAGATTTTGAAGATTTACAGAAGTTTTCTGTAGAAATTACTTTAGATAATTTCACTTAACTCTGAGCTGCTCCATTCTCCCAGGCATGTGCTTATTAATAGTTACCTGCCAAGCAGGGCCTCTTGAGGTGACCATTTTGTTTCCTGGAGTTATAATAGGTAACGGGGAGCTCACCTCAATTCAGCTAGCTGTTTTTTGAAAATCCTTTCAGAAGAAAGGCCTCAGACTGGTAAATTTGAAAAAAAGAAAAACCCGTGGGAAACTAGGTGGTTAGGGAGCTCAAAGATCTTTTACGATGGGAACATCAACAGATGGGATATCATTGGGTTGGCAGTATTTTCAGTGTCCTAAAGAACGTACATGAAAAATCAGGTAATGGCTGATGTGTTTGGAATAATGGAATAAGTTTTCTTCAAGTAAATTTTCAAGTACACACTATGTTTTAGGCATCATGGAAAATGAGAAAGTGCATATCATAAATTGCAATGATCAGAGTAAAGCAAGTGTATAATAACCAGCCTTAAATTTCTTATAATAGTAAGAGTATCAGCTCTATTTAAGTAATTTTTTAAAAATTTAAGGCAGTAGTAGTTCTGTAGTTGGCATGTGAATTTTTTAGAGTAATGTTTTTTACAGTGTAGATCTAGAACTACATTCATCAGAATTACCTGGATGCTTTAAAAATGTTGGACCTCTTTTCAGTCCTATTGAATGAGAATCTCTGGTGGAGAGGCTCAGAAATTCTTTTTGATAAGCTCCCATCTGATTCTGATGATCATTAATATTTGAGACTCCTCTGCAGCTTCTTTGTATAAGTACTTTTTCCATGCAGGCAATAGTGTGAGTGTATTAAATTTGTTCTTTTAAAATAAAAATTAAAAGATATATTTATTCTTCCATGTCAGCAAGCAGATCTGATATCATTAGGAAAAGTTGTGTTGGCTTTGGCTTGCAACTCTTTGGCAGGAATTCAGCGAGAGAATTTACAGAAAGCCATGGAACTGGTGACAATCAACTACTCTTCTGACCTGAAGAATCTGATTTTGTAAGTTTTAATATACAATTGAACATGTATAATGGTCATATGAGATAAGACAGCTGTTTCATAAGGGCCTTTTAATAGTGATTCTGTTTATTTTACTGACTGCTATTTAAAATCAGGCAAAACACAATTAAGCAACTTGTAATTTATTTTTATTGCTAAGTATATATTTCTTGGAATAAATTTATAAACCAGTGTGTTTAAATCAGTTACTGATGTTTTAAACATTTTGCCAAAGGGTACCCTCTAATGCTGCATTGGTATCTACTAGCTACATATGACCTTTTAAGTTTAAGCTAGTTAAAATGAAATAAAATTTAGTTCTTTAGTTTCACTAACCACTTTTCAAGAGCTCAAAAGCCATTTGTAGCTCCTGGCTAATATTGGATAGTGTAGACATAGAACATTTCCATCATCTCAGAAAGTTCTATTAGTGCTGCTCTAGAGCAGCGGTCGCCAACCTTTTGGACCTCACGGACCACCAGTGGTCCTCGGACCACCGGTTGCTGACTACTGCTCTAGAGAGTGGTCGTTATCTTTGTGAAAGCTTTCATAAATAAACCTCAGGTATGATTCAGTTATATACTCTATGGCCAGAACATCCATTCCAGAAAACATATATGTAAAGGTCTCTATGCTTCTCCAGTATCTTCAAACTCCAAGGAATCCTTGTGTGCCGGTTTGAAATAAATTTGGTGTAAGAAAAACCCACTGTGGACTACTGTCATCACAGAAGGACTGCTCCCTGTCCAAGATACCTCTAACATTTGGAAATTCCAGACAACCCTTATTATAAGTTATTCTAGAGAACACATGCTAGGAATAGGAAGTCTCTATTGCAATTTATCCTATTATGTTCTAGAAGCAGAGCTTATAGATCCTTTTCAGTCTCTCTTTAGCTTCCAGCTGTTTCTTCTGATTTTTCTTGTAGCCCTGGATGATCCCATTTGTTTTTGGACTGGCCTTGGGGTATGGAATTGAGGGATGGAGGATGGGGCTGCTCACCTGTGCTTTGTTACATTGGCATAAGTGTCTTTGTGACAGAGCCAGTGATACCTGTTTCCTGTTAATAATCAAATAAGATGATTTCTCTTTTAAGTGAAAATATTTGCTTCATATATGATCACAGCTGTGATTCCTGGCCTTAGTTTGCAGCACTGAGGATGTCTCTAATCTCAAGTTATAATCTCCAAAATTTCCTTTTAAAAAAGAGAGAGTAACGAATATAAATGTAACAGAGTTGGCCATACATTAACAGTTTTTGAAACTGGGTGATGGGTACATGGAGATTTAGTAATTTTCCCTACTCATGTAAATTTTGAAGTTTTCCTTAAAAAGTGAATCGGCAAAAGTCATACTTTAATATTAATCAGTAACTAAAATTTATAGAGCAGTAAGCCATGTATCAGGCACTTTCAAACTGACTGATATGAATTAAGTCTCTTAATTCTTTCCCAAACGCTAGGAATTAGGTACCATTATTAGCTCCATTTTAAAGGTGGCAAAGCTGAGACATAGAGAGGTAAAGTAACTTGCCAAAGTCATGTAGCTTGTAAAATGAGTAGTTAGATGTAAATATGTCAGTAATTACGAGATGAGTAGGTAAGATATTGATTATCCACATGAATATAACCATTCATTTATTCAACGAAAGAATGCCTGCTATATGCCAGATGCTAAAGATGCTTTGAACAGATGCATAAAATTTTCATCTTCTGGAGCTTCCACCTAATGGGGAGGAGTTAATAAACATGTGAACAAGTAAGATGTTTGCAGATAATGATAAACCCTATGAAGAAAATGAGACAAGTTTAAGCAGAGAGTGAATGAGTGGGAAGCTTCTTTAATGAGAAGGGTTAGGAAATGGCTTACCTATCAGAATGAGCAATAATAGGTGATTAATTATTGTGTTCTATAAGGTGGCCCTTTGAAACATAAATTTTTTTCTGCCTTAGTTGTAACAATAGAAGAAATTTAATTGGTCTCTTCTGATGTGTATTAGTGCATGAAGATTTCTCAGAAATAAATATACCATGACAGCTGGTAAATGAAGTTGCAGAGCAGAGGACAGCTTCCTAAAAAGCTGAGGCTCGTTTGATTTATCAAAATTGAAAACCCAGGTTTAGTTTCAGAAATTATTGTTGAGGAACCCTTACAGCCAACCCCTATTTCACCTCTCCAAAAAAATGTGTAGCAATCTTTTCATCTCTCACTATTATAAAGAAGGTTTTGAGAATGGAAATGGTAAGTATAACTCTATTAAATTTTCCTTTCTCATTTTCATAATAAAAAGTAAAAATGCAGAGAAAGAGACATGTTTACAGTTTTCTCCATTGGCTCTTAAGATTTTCCAGAGAAAAGTGAACTTGACTTGCATGAAAAAATGTTTTCAAATTTGTGCGTACTGATATGATAGCAGCAATGGTAGCTACACGCTTGTGGGTCATGTTGTTTTTCAAATTGCATGTTTGGCATTCAGGTAATTCTTCTGTATGTTGGGTAGGTATCTGTTGACTGATCAGAACAGGATGCGAAGTGTTAATGACATCATGCCCATGATCGGTGCTCGATTTTATACTCAGTTGGATGCTGCTCAAATGAGAAATGATGTCATAGAGGAGGACCTTGCAAAGGTAAAGAGTGCATGTAAGAGCCTGTATACAGGCTTGCATCTCTGTGTATAAATCAATAAAAAGCATACTAATTATTGTGCAGAATATAGTGCATAGTTGGCTAAGATTGCACACATTTTTGCCCAAACTTAATGATTAGTATTTTAATTTCCTATGTGGCATTTGTTTTCTTCTTTTTGTTCATGGCCTTGATACATTCATTTGACAAAAATCTTGATTTTTTTTTTCACGTGAATTATTTTAACAAAACTTTTAAAAATGACCAGCTGTATAATTTTGAGTATTACTATTGAATGGCATGGGCACATTGTATTTAAAAGTATAACCAGAAGGTTGGAATATTAGGATTTGTTGGTTAAAGGTAATATTGGTGCAGGATACCAATTTTTGTAAACTTTTGCTTTTATATTCAGTTAGCTGGAATATTAATATTCTGTCTCTTTTTAAAATGTTTTATAGGAGGTTCAAAATGGAAGACTGTTTAGGCTTCTAGCAAAATTGGGAACAATCAATGAGAGGCCGGAGTAAGGATTTACAGTATTTTATAACACGGTTTCAATCAAGGGCATGGTTTTGCATAATAAGATTGGGTATACCTTATCCTTAACTGGTTTTATTTGGAAAAGGGAAAAATTCTCATGTGAAGTGACCTTAAAGCCTATTGTTAATCATTAATTAGGGTGTTGTTTTTAAACTACAGCCTAGGCATGGTTGTCCTTAAGAATTTCACATACATACATACATAAAGAAAATATACTGTGTTAGATCTCCAGTGTGGTTTGCACATAGTGGACAGTTGATGGTGATCAGTACTGCCTTAACCCTGTCTCCGTTTTGAAGCTTGGTCAATTCAGGTCAGGTGAGAGATTTCAGAAATCTCTAATTGTTGCATGTCTCTTATCTTCTGTTTCATATCAGTGCTATCACCGTCTTACATTATTTGTCATTTAGTTCTGCCTCATTTGTAAGTTAATCATATGTTCAAGAAAGAAGCAGAATTGATGTTTGAACTGCTTAACTGTCAAAGACAGCTAAGGCAGTATCACAGCTATTGTGACTACAGTGTAAGTTACAGTTCAGGAATGTCACCTTTGTTCATAGAAATAGATAAATGTCTTCGCTTGAGGGATTTTTTGACCACAGAATTCAAGTTCACTTATATTTCTTCAAGTTTAAAAGACAGTATTTTTGCTAATTTTTTTTCTAAATAAAGACAACATGACTATTTTGAACCATATTTTAGGAACTCTATGTTTCTTCTGGCACTTATCTCTTTATTTTTAAACTAGAGGCCCAGTGCATGAAATTTGTGCAAGGGGCTTGGCCCTCTCAGCCGCGGCAGCTTGCCTTGGTGGCTTGCCTCGGCCCTCGCAGCCCCGGCTTCTTCTGGAATGTTGTCTGGAAGGTCGTTTGGCCATCTTGTCTAATTAGCATATTATGCTTTTATTATTATAGATGTATGCTTATGGTACTTTTTCTTGATTTTTTTTTAATCGTTTAACTCAGCAAATGATTTTGTCCTGTGAAAGATGCTTCATTTTTCACACCTTTTCCCTTAACTGAACACACACACACACAACTTAATCCATAAATTTTGAGTTAACTCTTTATTTAGTGTTGATGTTTTTATAACAAGGTAAATATTGTTAATAGCTGCATCACTTAGTAATCATAACTATTTATTTTCTTTTTTATTTTATTTTTGTTTTCATGAGTTAATAATGATCTTATATAGGAAACTATTAAACAAATTAAAAACTATTTACTGCCAGTTCATTCCAAATTCTCTGCCAGAGTTATAAAACACTTTTCCATGGGGTCCAAAAATAGGTAGCCTATCAGTTTCTCTTTTTTTCTCCCCATTAGAGAAATTGCCTCTGGAGCCTCAAATTTTTTCCTGATCCTATCTGGGCTAGTTGCGCTTTAAGCCTGCTCACACTCACACTTTAGAACTGGAACTTCCCTTCACTTTTATCCTGGGAGTTTTCATTGTCTCTCCCTTTGTGTTGGATGTCCTGTTTCTTGCCTTTTTCCTTGGTTTATTCTTTTTTTATTTAATAGAGCATCCCTCTCCTGTAGCTTCCTGGGAAAGGTGAGTTTTTAGTTTTTGTCAGTCTGAAAATATCTTTATGCTACTTTCACACTTTATTAATAGTATGATTGGGTATATAATTTTAGATTGTCCTCAGAAAATTATTTTTGTTAATTAAATATTTTGAATAGATAATATATGAATACATTTTTTAAAAGCAGAAAATGGTTTACAGTAAAAATAATAAAATCTCTCTTTTATACTTGATATGCCCAATCTCCCCAATTTCTGCCACCAACCTTTATTTAGTTTCTTATACATACTTCCCTGGTAATGACTATACTAGAGGCCCAGTGCACAAAATTTGTGCACTCGGGGGTGGTGGTCCCTCATTCTGGCCTGTGACCTCTTGCAGTCTGGGAGCCCTCAGACATGAGCGGTGCCACAGAGGCAAGAGATGCTCTCTCCACCACCGCTGCACTCACCAGCCGTGAGCCCAGCTTCTGGCTGAGCGGCTCTCCCCTGTGGAAGCACACTGACCAGCAGGGGGCAGCTCCTGCATTGAGTGTCTGCCCCCTGGTGGTCAGTGCACATCTAGCAACTGGTCTTTCCGCCGTTCAGTCGATTTGCATATTAGCCTTTTATTACTAGTATATAGGATATTATTTACATCCACACCCATACTCCACCATCAATTTTTTTTTAAGAAATAATTTCTTTATTGATTTCAGAGAGGAAGGGAAAAGGAGAGAGAGATAGAAACATCAATGATGAGAGAGAATCATTGATTGGCTGCCTCCTGCACACCCCCTACTGGGGAATGAGCCCGCAACCCAGGCATGTGCCCTTGGCCGGACTTGAACCTGGGAACCTTCAGTCCGCAGGCTGACGCTCTATCCACTGAGCCAAGCTGGCTAGGGCTCCACCATCAATTTTTAATATATACAAATTATAAACCACACAATTGCTTTTTTTGTATATGGCTTATTTTCTCGTAACAATGTATTTTGGAAATCATTTTGTTCAGATATGTTTAGTGTATTCTAAATATTATTGTCAATGGTTTACAAATATGACAACATAATCCTCATAACAACCCTGTGATGCAGATGTTGTTAGTATCCCATTCAACTGAGAATTGAGACATAGAGAGGTAAATACCTTGTCCAAGACCACAAAATAAGTATATGAGCCTGATTTAAATCCAGGCAGTATGGTTTCACAGTCTGTGCTCTTAACCAAATATGCTATGCTTCCTCATAATTTATGGCCATTTAATAGTTCATCCTATGGATACACTATTTCTCTAGTTATTATTGATGAGCATTTGGGTTGTTTTCAGTCTTTTGTGCCAGTATTAACAATGTTGTAGGGACTCACTTAATTTTGTGTGTGCATAAATAGAGGTCCAGTTATGATTGTTAGGTCAGTGGGAATGTCCCTGTAATTTGATAGCTATTACAGAAGGTCTACAATGCACAGGAGTCTTTCACTAACAATACTTTTTTCAAACTTTTTGGATTTTTGTCAACTTGATAAATGCAGTTTTAGTTTGTATTTTATTCTTTTTTAAAAAAATTTTTATTGTTGAAAGTATCACATATGTCCCCCTTTTCCCCCATTGACCCTTTCTAGCCTGCCCCTGCCCCTTGCTCCACGCCTTCACCACCCTGTTGTCTGTGTCCATGGGTTATGCATATGTACATACAAGTTCTTTGATAGCTTCCCACCCACCGACCCTCCCCCGCCTTCTCTCAGATACTGCATTCTGTTCCATGCTTCTGTGTCTCTGGATCTATTTTGTTCATCAGTTTATTTTGTTCACTAGATTCCACATATGAATAAGATCATGTAATACTTGACTTTCTCTGATGGGCTTATTTCCCTTATTTATTTATTTATCTGTTTATTTATTTATTCTTAATGAGCATGTTGCCAATCTTATGTTTTTGATCATTTTTGTTCTCTTCTGTCCTTTGCTCATTATTATTTTTAATTGGATTGTCAGGTTTCTGTGATATATGGGATCGAGAGAGATTTGCCCTGTGGTTTTTATTTTATTTTAATTTTTTTTTTATTTTGACTGCTTAATTTTTCCCATGCAGGCATTTATATATGTAGTCTAATTGATGAAACTTGCTTTATGCCTTTAGATTTTGAGTCATAGTTAGGCAGATCTTTTCCATTGTAAGATTATGAAGGAATTATTTCATGGTTTCTTCTAGAATATTTATAGTTTTTTTTTTTTAAATTAAATTATTTATATATTTGGGATTTCTATAAGATGTAAAGTATGAATCCCAGAAGACTACCCAGTGGTCCAAAAACTATTTATTGACTAGTCTAGCTTTTCCACACTAGTTTAAGGCAGCATCTTTTACAATGTTTTAATGATTGACATTTTAAAACCTAATAGTGTTAGTTCTTTCTTATGTCCATTTTACTTTGTGTTGTTTTATTGTTTTCCTAACACCATTTAGTAATTTGTATAAATTCTATAATTAGCTTGTTTTAGTTAAAAAAAAACCCACAAATCAATAAATCTGATGGTATTTTTATTGAGAAGATAACATATTAGGTTTATTAATAAACTTAAGGACCATTTGTGTTTTTAGATGACGAGTTCTCTTAACCAAGATAATGGCATGTTATTGAATTTTTTTTTACTTCTTTATATAGTTATATCACCAGAAGTTTATTCTTAGGTATTTTTTCTTATTGTTATTATAATTGGGAGTTTTCCCCCAATTTTGTCTTCTGGACTGCATGTTACCAAATATACATGAAAATAATAGATTTCTATAAATTTTATGCCCTATTGTCTTACAGTTTTTCAATAGATTCTCTTGGGTTTTCTGATATATGGTCAAATATTCAAGTATTGTTAGTTATATTTCCTCCTTGTTAATTTATATACTTTTAATTCCTCTTGAGTGATTTGTATTAACTAGTACCTCTAGTAGTACATAGCTGAGTTATAGGAGTGATCATCTCATTCAGAATTTGAGGCATTGCTCCATAGTCTTTTTGACTTCAAGACAGATTTAAAGCCATTTTCTTTCCAAATCCTTCCCCTCCCCACCATGCTTTAGGGTCTTTATCACTGATGTTCAGAAATTCATACTGATGTGTCTTGGTGTGAGTGTTTAATTCATTCTGCTGAATCAACACATGAGCCCTTTTCATCTTGGAAACTTATGTTCTTTACTTGTAGTCATCGTTTCTTTGGTAATTTCTTTTCTCTTTCTGGAATTCCCATTGTTCAGATGTTAGACTTTGCAACTGATTTTCTAATATTCTCTTCTATTTACTGTATCATATCTTTTTGTTCTTTCTAGGCAATTATCTCAAGTTATTTTGTCTAAAATGAAATGTTTTCCTAGTTTTTCTTTCAATTTTTGAATTTCTGCGATCATTTTTAATTTTCAAGAACTTTTAGCACTCTGTTTCTCTCTTACAGCATTTAATTTTGGTTTCTTTGAGGCTGTCAATTAGAAATTTTTGGTTTTAAGTTTTTTTGTTTCCTGCAATATCTCATAGGAAAGAATTTGCTTTGCTTTGTTTTATTCTCCAAAGCATTTTTGATGCTTGGCTGTCCATTTATACTAAAAATGAGGTTCTAGCCCTGGCTGGTGTGGCTCAGTTGGTTAAGCATTGTCCCATGCACTGAGAGGTTGCTGTTTCAATTCCTAATGGGGACACATGCCTGAGCTGTGGGCTCAATCCCCAGTAGGGGGCATGCAAGAGGCAGCTGATCAATGTTTCTTATTGATGTTTCTCTCTCTCCCCCTCTAAAATCATATATATAAATAAATAAATAAATACATACATACATACATACATACATACATACATCCTATATAATAAAAGCCCAGTATGCGAAGTATCCGGTCATCCATTCAACCAATCAAAGCATAATATGCTAATGAATGCTAAGGCTACTCAACCACTCGCTATGACATGCACTGACCACCAGGGGGCAGACAGTCAACCAGTTGACCAGTTGCTATGATGTGCATTGACCACGAGGGGGCAGACGCTCTGACCAGTAGGTTAGCTTGCTGCTGGGGTCTGGCTGATCAGGACTTAGTGAGACGGGCTGGACATGCCCTGGAGTCCTCCTGCAGTCCCTTCCTGGCTGGCTAACCTCCTGCATCCCTCCCCCGCCCCAATTGTGCACGGTGGGGTCCTTTGGCCTAGCCTGCACCCTCTTGCAATCTGGGCTGAGGGGGGGACCCCCCCCCCCCACCCCCAGTGCACGAATTTCGTGCACTGCACCTCTAGTAAATAAAATGAGGTCCTAAAAAACTAATGGGAAGCTCCTTATGGAGGCAGAAATTGTGACAAAGCAGAATGTGTGATACTGTTAGGTATGACTTTTGTGGGGGGTTTTTTGGTAGGCTTCCAAATGTCCATATTTCTATTGGGCAGGTCAGCATATCCAGAAAAGAATCTTCCAACCTTCTCTCTGTAGTATAAACCCCATAGCCAAGGTTTGGGAAGGCAAGGAGGGAGAAAGTGTTGGTTAAACTGTCTCACCCATCACTCCTCAGTTCCTGATTTCCTGCTTTGCCTGTTATACTGGAGGCTGGAGATGCTCTCTGAACCCTTTTTAGGAAGATTCCTGGTTGAGAGATGGGTTTATTGTTTGCTGTTTATGGAACCTTTTATTACTCTGTTGTTTCCAGCCTCAGTTCACACCAGGATCTTTAAGCAGTACCGAATGACGTCAGCCCCTGAGCCTCACTGTTATGACTGGCTTCTTGTGATGATCTCTTTTTATGCTCCCTGTAGCATTATAGTTCAGTTCTGCTAAGTCATACCACTTACCTTCTGCTTTCTACCTTCCAAATTTCTGTGATGTGTGTGTGTGTATCTGCTATTGTTGCTCCTGATCCCTTTGTCCTTGTGTGTTTACACCCTTTTAAAGACATTTATTACAGATTTGGTGGGGGTTTGAAAGGAAACAGATAAATGGGTGTGTTTAATCAATTTTAATTGGAAGTCCCTGGAATGATCTCTGTAAAGCACACATATAATTGTGTTTAACCATGTAGTGCCCCCCCACCTTGTTCTTTTTTTTTTTTTTAAATATATTTTATTGATTTTTTACAGAGAGGAAGGGAGAGAGATAGATAGTTAGAAACATCGATGGGAGAGAAACATCGATCAGCTGCCTCCTGCACATCTCCCACTGGGGATGTGCCCGCAACCAAGGTACATGCCCTTGACCGGAATCGAACCTGGGACCTTTCAGTCCGCAGGCCGACGCTCTATCCACTGAGCCAAACCGGTTTCGGCCCACCTTGTTCTTAGAATGCAGATTAATGTTTTTCTTTTTTTTTTAGACTAATGTTTTAACATGACCTAACGCTGCATAATCTGACCTCTCCCCTCTTATCTTTGCTTCAGATCTGCCTTTTTTGCTTTTAATTTTCTCCTCCTCTCTCTTTTTTCTCTCACTCATTGTCCTAGTGTTTTCTTTCTCCTCCTTGTCCTTACTCTCTAACCCTCCCTTTGTACTCCTTTTTATCTGTCTAGTCTTTTCTCATCCAACCCCATCCAGCCACACTGACCTTTCTTACGTTTCTTAAATGATCCTTTGCAAATATTGATGTCTTTGATTAAGGAGCATCCTTCCTCTGGGAAGAGCATCCACTGCTTCCTGTGGAAAGCTGTCCTTGTCTTACAGAGGAATTCATGTTTCTGTTCTGTACTATATCTCTTTTTCTTAATTGCATTATTTAAATATGCAGTTACAACTTTTTTTGGTTATTTGAATGTTTGTTTTCCTTACTGGACCATAGTTCCAAAGGCTGCTGAAAACTAACTGGTAATCTGGTCTGTTCTCCAGTTCTTCACAGCACACTTTCTTTTTTTAAAATTTTTTATTGATTAAAGTATTACATATGTCTTCTTTGTCCGCCATTGGCCTCTCCCTGGCCACTCCCCCTTCACCCCCTCCCCCAGCACATGCCCCCCCCCAGTGTCTGTGTCCATTGGTTATGCTCATATGCATGCATACAAGTCCTTTGATTGATCTCTACCTCCCCTCCCCCCCTTGCCTTCCCTCTGATTTCCTTCTTTTTTACAGCAGCGTAGTATTCCATTGTATAGATGTACCACAGTTTTTTAATCCACTCATCTGATGATGGGCACTTTGGCTGTTTCCAAATCTTAGCTATGGTGAATTGTGCTGCTATGAACATTGGGCACAGCACACTTTCATCATATCATCACATGAGAGTAGGAAACCAAAATCTACCCCCTTTTTGTTTCCTAAACAGATTTCTATTTTATGCTCACCAGTAAAAACATACCTGACTATCTCTCTCTTCTCTGTAATCTGAGGGTGGGAGGGGGTAAAGGATAATCTCTTTAACCTATTTCTAAAGATATCTAAAGACATTTCCTTCTTCCCCATTTTATCTAATGATAGTGGTTTAAATAAGGAAGTTATTCTAAAATACGGATGTATAAGGGGTGATTGCCCTTGAGAATTGGAAACTGATATTCATATACTTGCATGTTAAATGAAATTATTTAAAAAAAAAAAAAAGAACCTGGGCAATATGAGCATAAAATATGAAAAAAAGAATTTTAGCTTCCCTATAACTTTTGGAGGTAATAAATAACTTTTGGAGAAAATAAAATAAAGCTAGTTTTGAGTCAGAAAAATAAACATATGGCCATGTGGCATATAGTATGAATTACTGAGGTAAAATATTACCTTCTTCAGGTTTCAGAAGGATCCTACCTGGTCAGAGACCGGAGACCGTTATCTGTTGAAACTCTTTAGGGATCATCTTTTTCATCAGGTGACAGAAGCAGGTGCTCCTTGGATTGACCTCAGTCATATCATTTCTTGTCTTAACAAGGTAATTTGTATCTGGATTTTTAAGACATAAATGCTATCTACAGTTTGTAGAGTTGCATTTTCTACAAATACTAAGACTCAAGAAATTGAGATGTAGTCTATAGTCTACAAGATATTTTATTACTAATTTTTTGATGTCTTAATTTTTAAAAATCCTCACCTGAGAATATATATGTTTTTATTGTTTTTTAGTGAGAGAGGGTAAGGGAGAGAGAAACATTGATGTGGGAGAGAAACACCCATTGGTTGCCTACTGTATGCACCCCAGGGATCAAACATACAACCTAGGTATGTGCCCTGACTGGGAATCAAACTCGAGACCTTTTATGTATGGGACGATGCTCCAACCAACTGTGCCAATCCAGCCAGGGCTGTACTTAATTTTTAGAATAGGAATTTTTAAACACCAAAATGTTCATTGTGGGTCTTTTTATTGTGGTAAATGTCACAAAATGACTGCCTTCCCAACCCCATTATACTATATTTTATTTGTATGTTATTTTGTTATATCAAATAAAACGAGTGGAAAAACAAAATAATTCTGTGATTAAGTATTTTTAAAAAGTTGAATTCCTTTCTTCTAAGTCATTCTGAGTCAAGTTGAATGTCCTGCATGTTATGAGTCCATTTACTGTTAACTATGGGTATTGTAATCATAAAAGCACAATACCAGTAATGTCAGTAGGCACAGCCATTATAAATGGAAAATTAGGTGGACGATATATCATAAATTTACTTGAGAGGTGAACTTTGTGTTTTTGAAAGGGCTAATAAGAGAGAGACAATTTACAGAGGAAGGAAGGAATGCATCTCCCTTATGGATTACTTAGAATTACAGAGCTTAGAATGGGTTTCCAGAAGCAAATCCTAGTCTTTGTATAGCTTTATATCTAAATCAGGGGTTGGCAAACTGTGCCCTGTAGGCCAAATTCATTCTACAGGCATTTTTTGTATAGCCTTCGAGCTAAGAATAGTTTTTATATTTTTAAAAGATTGTTTTAAAAAAACAAAACCAAGAAGGGATATGTGACAGAGGTTGTATGTAGCCCTGAAATTCAAAGCATTTACTAATGGCCCTTTATAGAAAACACTTGCTGTGTCCTGGTCTCAACTGTCCCTAAATGACAAGCACTAGGGAAGAAAATACCGGCTCTGTCACATCATTTAGAACTGTTAACATACATTGTTAACCCTCCAGGAAAAATATCTGTTTTTAAGCACTACTTTGTCTTGTTTGAATTTCCTTAAAACTCTTGAGAGAGTATTGTCAATAACTTACATTAAGACAGAATAAAACTGTATGATGTACCATTAAACTAATCCAATATGATTTATATATTCATTTGCCCTTTTCCCTTAAGGGGAAAATGTTTTTCTTGAGCAATGAGAGAAGAATAAGTCTATTAGATTTTAGAAGATACTATCCGTAGTGTCAAAGTACCATAACTAATACTGTAGAACAGGTATAAACACTGACAAGTAGATTTGATAGAATAAGGCGGAGATAATTGAAAATTTGAAGAAAGTTCTATTTCATTTCATAAAATAACTAGTAGTAAATAAAATCTATTCCAAATCTGAAATGTAACAATTTTCTAAATTTGGAAAAGAGAGTAATAAATTGAAAAGGAGGGATGGCCATATTGATGATATAAAAATTAAAATTTAACATAGCTTATTTGGTGGAAATGACTGAAATTAACTGCTAAAGTTATTTCTAAATTTGAGTCTTCAGAATTAGTTTTAAATGTTTTTTAATGAATTAATGAAAAAAGAAGGAAAAATGGACATTAAAAACTAACAAAAATAAAGTGAAGACAAGATGAGTTTTTTTGATGGACTAAGGATTAGTATTTATACTTAATAGATACCTCATTAAAATACTATGCTGTATCCTTATAGATCAGTGGGTAAAGACTATAAACTGGCATTCACACTGTGGAAATAACAAAAGTGAATATATGAAAGCATTTGGTTATGTTAATAACATTATAAATTAAAACAGCAAGGCATTCATTTGATATGGAGTTGCTGCTAAATTGGTACAACTTATAAGGCTGTGGTGTCTGAAATCCTGTGGAAAGCAATTTGGCTGTATGTGATAGGCTATAAAATTACTCATACTTTCTGATTCAGTGTACTTTTAAGTCTCCTAAGGAAGTAATTCTACAGAAGAAAAAGTTGAGATGAAAATGTTCATTGCACTGTAATTGTGATACAAAAAAGTTGGGAGATATTGAAGGAATAATTAAGTTATACTATATAATACAAGCAATTAGAAAAAGCATGAAAGATAGGGAGAAATAGGGCAGCATTTGTGTGAAAAGCGTCTGAGTTAAAAGTGTGTACCTACTGATTGGTGGTATGAAATATTTATGTATATCCAGAAGCAAATGTAACAAACAATTTTAAATGTTTATCATCATTGCCAAGTGTTGTCCTAAAGTAGATAAGGTAGATAATCTTCTGTGTGGTATGAACTTCATATTTTTTAATGTATCTGTTTCAGTTAGATGCTGGTGTGCCAGAAAAAATAAGCCTCATTTCCAGAGATGAGAAGAGTGTACTTGTGGTGACTTACAGTGACTTAAAGCGCTGCTTTGAAAACACTTTTCAAGAACTGATTGCAGCTGCCAATGGCCAGTTGTAGTATTTGCTAACAGCACGCAGGACATGGCTGAGGAGCTTAACCTATAGCGAATTGCACTACAGCTGAACTGTTTTCATCATCTCATTTCACGTCTGGGAAACAGAAGATGAGCAAAGCTGCTTGCATTTCAATCAGGTACACTGTTACTTGAAAGGAAGAATGTTTCAATCATCCTAGAGCTGTGGCTGCCATTGGGGCCAAATCTGTGAAGAATTTATTTTAGATTAAGGAGCACCATTAGGCGACTGATGTTCCAGCTTTGGTTTTTTTCCACTTGTATATGCACTAATTTTAATTTTCTTAAGACTTTTTTCTGATCTTTGAACTTTTGCCACATTGTATACTTATTAAGGGAATCTATTTGCAAGGATATTTTTTGGAAACAATGCTGGACAGCATTTTTGTCAGTGAGGGTTGCAGAATTTGCTCTTTTGGGGATGGGTTGCCCTGAATAATGTAATGGACCAGGTAAATAATTTCACAGTTCAATGTAGCGCATAATTCTTGTAAGAGTATTGTATGCAAGCTCTATATGCCACCCACTGTTAGTTCAAATTGAGATTTTTGTTTTGTTTTAAAGAACACACAAAAAGAAATATCAGTGAATTTTGTTAGATACAAATTCCCCTATTACTTGATTTAAATCCTTTCTGTAAAGATTGGATAAACAGTAACTGAAGGAGCTCATAGAACTTTTTGCTCCAAATTCAACCAGAGCCTTTTGTAAAAAAGATGTTTCCTGCTAGTCAGATACATTTACATTTATGCAATCTTTTTTAAATAGAAAAAATTGAGAAATTGTGTTAAAGGACTGAAGTTTGCTTTTTTTTTTTTTTTTTGTATAAAGTTTTGTTCTTTAAACCACAGCTTTATTATGGTACTTTACACTGGATACAGACACAGAGACACTGTTCAGAAGATGAGCTAAACACAGCAGTGGTCTGGCATCAAGAGCTTCTGAAGTTTTATAGCCTGAATCTGGAGGGATAACAATCTGCTGTGCCTTTGCAGTCACTGCTTAGCCCAAAGTCATAGTGCTTTTAATAATAATATGTGGGATATTCCTGAATAAGTCAATCTCAAATCTTTGGAATTTTCCTCCTCTTAACCTTTCTTAATATTTGGACGTGCAGTTGTCGCCAAACTTGTGTATTCATGGAATTTCTAGTTAATGAAATACTTATACTTTGATACTGAAGACTGCCAAATACATAGGAATTTTCTTTCTTAAAAAACAGTAATGAAGACTGTATCTCCTTTCCCAGCACTGAATGTTTTACTAGCACTGGGTGCTCACCAAGCAACTATGAAGAAAATGTGGAAACTCAAAAGATCAGGAAAGACTTCCAAGCACTTGCAACCGATGTTATGGTTTTCAATTTTAATGATTATACATATTTGTAGTTTTCAGAGAAGTTTTTAATATTTCTCTGTCCACTTTTTATAAGCTTTAAAATGATTTTTTCTGCCTTGAGATTTGCATCAAGGAAAAGCACCTCTCTTCACCTGAAAGCTTTGAAGACTAGAGACACGCTTCTCACATTGTTAACAAGTGAGTCCACCTGTGTTAAAAAGAAAATCAATGATTGCATTTGATCTGGATGGATTTTAAAAGAACATAATGTTTAATATTCAAATGATAACATTTGCCACCGTAATGTTCTTTTTATGTAAAAGGAACAGGAACTTGGAGACATTAACATGCAAAAGTCTTTTATCATTAGCTCATGTATTTGAAGAAGAGCAGCTGTCTTTTTATATGTTTTTTGACAAATCATATTGTAATTCTTTTGTACAAAAAAGAACTACTTGTATTCTAGAAGAAATATGAAATGCTTAATTTATAAGCAGGCTGGAGATTTTTTCCAATATTGTTTTCTTTGAAAATGAAAGGGGATCATCTATTTTCGTTTTGGGGTCTGGCAACTTTTTGAAAATTTAATTTGTGGACCAATGTTTTGTGAAAGCTAAGGAAAGGCAGGGGTAGAATAGGGCTTGAATTTCTCATTCTGTATAGACCAGCAAACTCCCCTCTGCAAGGCAGGTTCAAATCACAAACCCAAGAATGTTTGTGTTATAAATGCTAGTTTGCTTCAGCCCCTAATAACCTCAGGACTTGGTTTGAATATAAAACATATACAGCTCATATGTTTTCATGAGTAAATATCATCAGCCTGAAAACAGTTGGTGTCAGGTAATACATATTTTTTTAAGCTTTGTTTTATATTTATTTTTCATTTAGTTTTTATTGGGAATGGTTTTCAATAGAACTCTTAGTTCTGCTTAGGTGTTTTTTGGGGGAGCCCTCTTTTCCATAGTGTAATTCCATTTAAGAGGTTGTCTAAAAGTTAGTCTTTTTAATTAATAGGAAGATTTTATTCTTTGAGAAGAGTCAAATTAAGGATATAAACTTCCATACCTTCCTGTTACGATAGTTAAAAGCACAGAAAGGACAACCCTTGAAATCATGTAGCGTTGGTCATTTCCAATTTTTGTACCTATTTTAAATTCTGTTAGTGTATTTACTTCATTGTAAATATTTTTGAGGGTACCTTTGTATTTTGCTTTTGACCTTGGTTCTGTGATTTGGATGTCAACAACTTCCCTAAAAAGCACCAGTATGTTAAGTTCTAATGTCATGATCCCAAATTGGGTTATTCATCTTTAATCCTGTTTTCAGTCTCTATGTGTACAGCAGTATTTTTAATAAAGAATTACAGAAAGAAACTCATCTTTTTTGTTATTGTTACCAGTTTATTTGAAAAGATGATTGGGCCCTGGCTGGGTTTCTCAGTGTTAGATCGTCGGCCCATGGACCGAAGGGTTACAGGTTTGATTCCTGGTTAAAGGCACATACTTCAGTTGCAGGTTCCTAAGCCCCTGTAGGGGCATGTGGGGAAGGCAACCAATCAATGGGTCTCACATCGATGTTTCTCTCTCCCCCTCCTCCTTCCCTTTCATCTCTCTCCCTCTCTTCCACTCTTTTCAGAAATCAATGGAAAAAATATCCTTGTGTGAAGATTAAAAAAAAAAATTAAAAAGATGATTTGTCAAATGATAGGAATTTAAAAGGCTGATGATTTCCTTCCTGTCTTGGAGGTATTTTTGGTCTTTGGATGAAATGGTGGTAGATTTATCGACTTATCAGGTATCTGTTAAATGCTTACTTGGATCTGTTCTAGGCACTAAAAATGCAAGTATGAGTACTTGGTACTTACAAAATGTATAGTTGTGCCCAAACATGTTTATATGCTACATGACTTACAGCAAAGTTTAGGAGAGAAGACCCACTTATGTGAAAGGATGGGAATGATACCTAGCCAATCTTTTCAGTACTTAGTTAATTTACTGTATAGGTGAAGGATGTCCCTTGCCCCAAGTCCTTCAGAAGCACTATCCTATATAATAAAAGCATAGTCTGCAAATTGTCCCCTCGACTGGGAGTTGTCTGGGAGTTCGACCAGGGGGTGGGGCTGGCTGGGGGAAAGGAGGGAGTACCCGGCCAGCAGCCGGCAGCTGCTAGGGACCCTACCAGTGCAGGAATTTTGTGCACTGGGCCTCTAGTTCAGAAGATAAGGGTAGATAAAGAAAATATGGTGAAATGTTAACATTTGTTGAATCTGGGTAGAATGTTTATTGTGGGGTGTTGTGGATTTTTGTGGGGGGTTTTTTTGTACGTTTGAAAGGAGTTGAAAAAATACTGTACAGAATAGAAAGTGATAAGGGACTATAGGCACAGGTGAAGGAGAACTAGAGTAAAGAAAGGGATTAATTTCAGCTGAAGGAACTGGTCAGTTGGTTTTAGGAATTAAGGGAGAGAATAAGTATAGAAGGTTTTATATGTAGAAGGATCTTGAAAAAAATCCATGGAATCATATAAATTAAAATTGATGATTGTGGGTTCATGAAGAAGAAGGGAGACTAGTCTGCTCAGAATTGAGGATGTATTTAGGGATCTTTTAGGTTTAAATTTCTTAGGAGAACACATTAAAAATACTGTTAAAGTTACGCCGATGTTACATCTGATACACTCTGACAAATGCTTTCATCTCCTGTGCTCTGAATGGTCAAAAACAGTGAACTCTTCCCCTCCAACACCTTTAGCAAATGCATGGTTAGGGACCCATCTGTAAAATATCCTATATAAATGGGGTGGGCGGAGAGGGGAGGAAAGAGAATTAAAAAATACATGTCTTTAAAATGTATTTAAAACAGTATGCATGGTGGTTAAGAAACCAATTTGCTAGAACAAGGCTACCTGAGTTCAAATACTGGCTTCTACCACTGAGAGCTCTGTGATCTTGGGTAAACCATTTGCCCACTCAGTGCCGCAATTGAATGGATTTAAATTCACTCATTCATGAACTAGTTGTTGAATGCTTATTGTATGTTAGGCATTGTTCTGGGAACCAACTGAAGAACTCTGACTACAACAGACAAAAATTTCTGCTTTTACAGAGCTTTTATTCTAGCAAGAAGAAGAAGTATATAGTATGTTAAGAGGAAATAATGGCTATGGAAAGAAAAGAAAGTAGGGTAAAGGATGTGGGTAAGGTTGCCAGATTTAGCAAATAAAAATATAGAACACACAGTTAAATTTGAATTATAGATAAACAACATAATTTTTTTTAGCATAGGTATGTCTCAAGTATTGTGTGGGACATAGGTATGTTAAAAAGTTACCTGGGTGAGAAGGGTGAAGGGATTAAGCAAAGAAAAAAAAAGAAAGACATGGATACAGACAACAGTATGGTGATTGCCAGAGGGAAGAGGGATGGAGAGGTAGAAGAGGCTAAAGGGGGCATAAATGGTGATGGAAGGAGACTTGACTTGGGGTAGTGAACACACAATATAATATACAGATGGTGCATTATAGAATTGTACACCTGAAACCTATATAATTAACCAATATCACCCCAATAAATTCAATAAAAAATATTTACCTGCAGTTCAAATGTAACTGGCCATGCTGTGTTTAATCTTGCTACTCTAGTTGTGGGGAGTATAGGGGTGGTGATAGAATTTCAAATGGGATGGTTTGTGTGTAGGGCTCACATTTGAGGATTAACTTAAAGTGAAGGAGCCAGCAGCCATGCAGAATTTGAGGGAAAAGAATTCCAGGTCCGGAAATGTGCCTGGAATATTTGAAGAATAGCAGGAAGGCCATGTGGCCAGAGTAAAGTGAGTCAGAAGTGAAGATAGAGGGTAATATGGGTAGTAGTGTCCTATAGGTCCTTTTAAGACCATTTTGGCTTTTACTCCCAGTGAAAGGGGAAACTGCAGGAGGATTTGGAGCAGAATAACATGATAAAACGTTTTAAAAGGATTACTTTGGCAGCTGGTTAACAAGCTATTGCTGTATTTCAAGTGAAAGATGATGGGGATTTGGACTAGAGTGACAGCAGAAGAGGTGGGATGAAATGACTAAATTCTGAATATATTTTAAAGGTAGAACCCACTGGATGTCCTAACTTATTGGATGTGAAGGAAGAAAGGAAGTGGGAAGTCAAAATGACTTAAGGATTTGGTCCACTACTGATGGGATGGAGGATTGTACTGAACGGAAAGAGATTGTTGTAGGAAGAAAGAGTTTTGGGGGTGGGAGGGCAGGGAGGATGGGGAAGTGAGGAAGGATAACTGAGAGTTTGGTCTGGGGCCTGTTAGGTTTGAGATGTTTAGTACACATTTGTTCTGGTTTGTTATAAGCAACACCAAACTTAATGGCATAAAGCACCCATTGTATTATCCTCAGGGATTCTGTGGGTCAGGAATTTGGGCAGGACACAGCTGGATGGCTTCTCTATTTCATTATGTTTTGGGCCTCAGCTGGGAAACTTCCTGGGGGCTGAAATCAGCTGATCTAGCGCCTGAACTGAAAGATGAAGGCTGGGTTCAGTGGGGGGCTGTAATGGAAGCACCTACTCATGGCCTCCGTGTGGCTTAGGCTTGTCCACACATGGTGCCTGGATCTCTAGTGGGAGCTCTTGGAGAATGAATTTACCAAAAGACTGGAAAATGCATGATTTTCTTTTTTTCTTTGACCTGGCCTCTGAGTGCAGGGTCATTTCTGCCACATTCTAATGATTGCAAGTGAGTCACAGAGCCAGCTCTGATTCTCGGGAAGAGGAATTTAATGGGGAAGTGACAAACGCACATTGTCGAAGGTCATGTGGGATTCGGGAGATACTGCTGCAGCTACCTTTGGAAGATGCTGCCACAGGATCCAAAGATGCCAATTTAGCACTTGGCATACACATGACTTTGGAGGTTAGGGCTGAGATCTGGCCCATAAATGTAACTTACAAGCCATTGTCATGCAGGTGTCACATAAAGCCCTGAGACTGGCTGAGATGATGGAGTTAGTGTAGACTGAGAAAAGTCCAAGGGCAGAGTGCTGGGGTAACTGGAACCATGTTCAAAGGTCAGAGAAAAGTAAACCAGTAAGAGGGACATCAATGGCCAGTGAGATAGGAAGAAATGTGTGATGTCCTGGGATCACAGTTAAAAGGTATTTAGGTGTTTTAGGAATAAAGGTGAAGTTGATGGTTCAAGAAAGATTGAGGCTGAAAATGGCCATTTGGTTTAACAATATGAAGTTCATGGATAACCTGGCCAAGGGCAGTCTCAGTGAGCGTGACAGTGAACCCTAGGCTTGAGGGGCTTAGAGGGCCTGAGGGGGAGGAATCTGAAACAGG